AAAGAATCAACTTTTAGCAGCATTATTTTTCCCCATAGTTTTCTTATTTTCCCTCTCCTGAATCTCAGCCCTGATTTTTATTATTTATTTTCTTTTGCTATTAGTAGGATTGTCCTGCTGACTCTGCTCTAGTTGTAAATTTTGTGCTAGCATATCAATCATAAGTCTCTCTTCCTCTTTTATGTGTGCATGTATTACTATGAAACTTCCTCTGATAACTGCCTTTGCTGTGTCCCATAAGTTTTGGTACATCGTGTTCTCTTTCTCATTGGTTTCTAGAAATAGCCTAATTTCATCTCTGATTTGTGCCAGTATGCACTCCATTTTGCAATAGGGAGTTATTCATCCTCCAATTGTTTGGTCATGTTTTCTTCATCTTCCTTTTTTTGATTTCCAGTCTTAAGGCACAGTGGTCAGAGAGAGAGGTCTGTATGATATCAATGTGCTTAAATTTATGTAGATTTGCCTTATGCCTCCCTATGTGGTCTATCTTCGAACATGTGCCATGTGGGCTTGAAAGGAATGTAGATTTTTTTGTATTTGGATGAAAAGCTCTATCTATCAGGTCAAATTGTCTAGTTGTAGTTTTAGATCTCTAGCCTCCTTGTTGAGTTCCTTTTCCTGTTATCTATCTTTCTCAGAGAGTGGTGTATTGAAATCACCACTATAATTGTTGAGGCTGTGATTTCTTTTTTCATCTTTTGGAGTGTTTGATTGATGTACATAGTAGGTCTCTCGTTCAGGGAATATATGTTTAAAATGCATAGTGGATCTTTGTCTACAGTTCCCTTGAGCATTATATAGTGTACCTCATCTCTTTTTATGGTTTGCACACTGAGGTCAATTTTATCCAAGATTTGGATTGCAAACCCTGCTTTTTTTTTTCATTGCTGTTTGCTTGGCATGCCTTTCTCCAGCCTTTGATTCTCAACCTTTAATTTTTGTTTATAGTCTTGAGATGAGTCTCCTGTAGGCAGCAGATTGATGGGTTGTGTTTTCTAAGACAGTCTGCTAGCCTCAGTCTTTTAATTCCTGAATTCAGTCCATTGATAATCAGAGTTATTGTCTCCATCTCTGGACTCTGTGATGTCATATTATACCTTTGTGTTCGGTGCTTTCCTACCTCCCTTTCTTATCAATGTGTTGTGCATGTGTGTATGTGTATGTGTGTGGTTCATTATTAACTTCTTTCCACCCTTAAGCCAGTGCTATCTTGGGGGCTGTTTTCTCTTTGTTGCTCCCTGGGTGGGGTTTTTTTGCTTGGTTAGTGCTGTTCTTCTCCCCATACTGGGTTGGCAAGGATCTTTTGTAGGGCTAGGTTTCTTCTAACGTATCTTTGAGTTTTTCCTTGTCTAGGAAGACTCTTACTTCTCCATCTAGAT